ACATACTTTTATTTGAAATACAAGCAAAGTAATACAAAAACAAGGAATTTTCGGCTTTTAATTCTTTTACTGCCTTTCCCGTTAACTCGGCAAGACGACTCCAAGCATTTGCAACTTTCTTATTTTTATGATTAACGTCTTTGGGGTTCCAGATAGACGATTCGGTCTGGTAATATTCCAGAAATGATAAACTCTCTTCTTTCGACCAATCATTCATTTTAAACAAAGAACTAAACATGCGCTCGTCGCGAAATCACAATTTCTACTAAACGCGCACCAACGTGTGAATGCGTTGCGAGCGCTTGCTGCAAGCGTCCTTTGATCTGTGTCAAAAACCGACAGTAGCCCGGATCGGGGAGAAGCGTCCACAATCTCACGCAAGCCAAGCCAAACGCCCTATTTACACACTTGTGCTTGTGGATGCTTGCCGAGACTTGGCAAGCGTGGAAACCTCGCATTATATACCCTAACATTAAAATATAAGATGACTCAAACATGTGCGTTGTCTAAATGTAGATGTCGTAACCAACTAGCTTAGTTAGAGCTTTATTTAAAATCCTATCTTTTTACTAAACGGCACCGTTTAGCTCAGACTCATGTTGAATGAAATTAATAGGGTGACCATGCCATGTAACGTCGCTGGCTTGTGCCTAATTATGCGCTATGTATATATTACATAAATGTACGCGGTTCTAGGCTGGTCCAGGGGCCACCCCAGTCGCACTACAACCTAATGTTGCTGATATTACAATATTGTTGTATATTATAATATTGTTGTATTAAGCGCATCGGCTGAATATCATTCAGGCCGCTAGTCGAACGGCGCCGTTTAGTAAAAAGGCTACTTTGTTAACTGAAAGGTTAATTAAGCTTGTTCGTTGCGATATAGATATAACTTTAATCTATTGATTTTATATATATAAATATATAACCATTGCATATTAGGCCATAATACAAAAATAATATTTAACATTACATTAAAAATTGCTTATTTTATATTATGTATGTTTTATAGTAAAATTGAAAACTCGCTGTACATAAAACATTAATATAGTCAATATACACACAAAACAAGAATTGTCTGTTAACCACTCGAAATTGACTTAACAAAATTTAAAGATTTTTTGCACAATAATTAAATATAAAAAGATATTTCACATTTATTTTTTTGTTATAATAATTGTAATAAAGGAAATTTAAAACTATAGTTTTATTTTAAATGTAGGTAAATATTTATACCATAATTAATATATACTTATATAAAATTCGGTGGGACAATCGAAACGACTTAGAAAATACACGAGTAGATATATATAATATAAACAATAAAAATTTACAATAAATTTTATAACAGCACCTTAATAAATGTTTATAACTACGTATATGAATAAACATTTATATAAAAATGCCTCAAAAGAGTTTTTGTATATAAAATGTCACATAAAAAATCATTAAATTTATACTGTTAACTTATTAAAAATGTAATACGCATATACAAATTGAGCAGTTTCCTTGCATCAGATAGTTGTCATATAAATTAATACCGGATTTATTAATTTATAAGATATTACTTAGTTAACTTAATTAATCACTTAAAGCCGTACCGTACAACACAAATGCTTAAAGTTTAGACCAGAGGTTCTCAAAGCTATGAAAATGAGACTACTACTACAAATTTTTTTTTCTATTTTTTTTTTTGATAATAATTTGACAATATTTAAATTGATATTTTACGGTATAAACATAAGCTATACAGCTGTACCGTATACCGATGCCATCAACAAACATATCATACTAATTATTATGCCTAATAATTGTGTCATACATCATAATGTTGTGGTGCACGCATTGAACCGTATCATCGTACGGTCAAGAAACCAGTTTGCTCTCGGGTCTTAGTTATTTTGTTCTCCCTCTGCCGCGTATTACTTACTAACACTACTTTTGAGTATTGGGTTTTATTAATTAAACTAACTGATACCCTCTCACATCGCAGCACGATAATTTTTTTTTAATGCAGAACCTAGTTTTTTTGGTGTGACTATCGTAATATCCGCTCTTAGTGAGCGTCTACATTGCGAAATTAGTAACTATACTAAATTTCAAGTCAAAGTCAGTCAGTCAGTCAGTGGTATTTCGCTTATATATATATATATATATATATATATATATATATATATAATATTCCTCTGTATATAACAGCAATAACACTTCCTACTTGAGTAAAAGAAGACCCAAGTTGCACTGACTGACGAGAAGATAGAACGTCTCATGTGTCTGTACTTTCACCGTACCCACTCACCCTTCAAAACCGGAATAAGCATCACTTTGTAAGTTTACCATCACCATCATCATCATCACTACAGTCGATAAAAATTGCATTACTGAACATAAGCCTCCACCATAGATTGGCTCAAAGGTGGATATTTGTCATAGCTGTCACGTTTGGCACGAGGATTGGCAACCGCAGTTTCTATAATTTTGCGTTGTTATCAAGAAGATGGTGCTGCACATTTTTTGTTGACACCCACGGGACGATATGGGGTAGTGGGTTCTCTTATGCCGCCATTACAAGGACAATTTAAAAAAATCAAAATTACAAAATCAATCATAAAGGTGAGCACTCTACGTACTTTGCGTACTACATAATTGCGATAACTCTGAGGAAATTAAACCAATTTTAAGTCCCTTACATTTGGCCCAGGTACCCTACTACACAGATGTCACGCGCCCACTTTGCGAATCACGACTCCCTGGGTGGCACGCTCCTAGTTTGAAAACCACTGGTTTAGACGTATTTAGACATATTGTAATTATAAATGTTTATTTACAAACGGCTGCAAGTGTCCTTACTTCGATATTTTACTTTAATGTAGCAAACTACTATGGCTAGTATACACTCGACCGTGTTGTGTAGATATGATCCAAACCACAAACTAGACAAAATAACAATTTAGAAGCTTTTCTTTCCAGTTTATTTCAAAGTATGAATGCCTTATGAAAAATAACAAGTAATCCCAAATCTCCATTAAATTTTCTTTAAAATGTGTCTCAGAAAGGTACTTCATGGCATTCCTTGGGGGGGGGGGGGGGGAGAGAGTGCTATCTTCAGCAGTGGACTTGTTAAGAGCCTTAATGATGTGATGATGATGGTGATGATCGTGATGATAATGATGGTGGCGGCGGCGGCGGTTTTGGTGGCAGTGATGCTGGGAACGGTGGTGATGGTATAATGATTATTATGATGTTGATGATTATGATGATGAGGGTGGCGGCGGCGGTGGTGGTGGTGGTGGTGATAGTGGCGTCTCGTCGTTGCGAGACGAATAGAATTTTTGATACGTTATGTGTATACCGAACACACTCCGTATCTTAAATATTATACATAACATGATGAGCAGCCCTTTTCTATCAAGAATAGGGCTGCTGCAGTAATATATAAATCTTTTAAATCTGAATAACTTTATGTTTTGTGAGTTGAAACATTTTTACATGACACGGTCCAGTTGCGATATAGTTAACAAGGTACAGTAACGTGCATATACAACGTATAAAGTAATGAATTAACGATCCCCAAATGTCTGTGTTATAAATCGTTTACTGATTAATTTTTCTCTTTTTAATGTACTTACATATGCATTATCAAATAAAAAATAAATTTGAATTCCCCAATTTGTGTGAGATAATTGAACAAAATTGAGTTTTAATCTGTTGTAATATGAATCAGTCTTAAATGCGATTGACAGTGGAGTAGTTATTTATTAAAAACTCCCGATATATTAAATTCCGTGCGGTTATTATTCCAATCGAGAATGTCATAATTCATTAATTTACACACTGTATAAGATTTTCAACCTTATCACAACACAACAAGATGACTATTTCCAAAAGAGTTGTATTTGACTCTGGTGTAACCTTTGTTTTCATTTATATGTAAATATCATTATTAACTAAATCTTTTTTAAGCCTTAGGTAATGATGGAAAACGTCGTCTGTATATGATCTGTGACTCAGAAAATAACCAGTAATATAAAAAAAAACAGTAAAATTAAAAAAAATTACATAGACGTAAAAAGTGCTAGCTTTCTAAGATTACATGATTATTATATTCACGAGGCTAAAGTCACATAATATTATATATCTTAAAATAACTTTTTTATACAACAATATACCTAATGTCAGACATATACACAAATTACTGATAGAATACAAATGTCTACTTTTAATAAAGAAATAATAAAACTCAAAAAACTTGGCATTGTTCAAAAACACAAACATATTTTTTAATTGATTACTTTTTTTATTTAAAAAGATTTTTTATATCACGAGTTTTAAGTGTAAAATGTATATGAATATAAAACAACAATTTATGATTAATTCGTACTTAGTAATTTAACAACTTTTTAAAGCTAATGTCCGTCCGTGACATGTACATAATAATAACCTAGATTTATCTTTATAATTTTGTACATGTAAATGTGGCAATCAAGCACACAGTCTACCATAGCATACAACAGTCCACCTGATGGTGGAATGTGTGCCTCACATTTACTGGGAAGTGGATGCTTTGACACCTATCTCCATATCTACCTTCGATTTAGAATTAATACGCAGATATTATTGGCTCTCATCACCCAACAAATAAAGTATTACATAGTATGCATTGAGATATTACGTACTAACACATAATAACATGTTCAATGATAGTATGTCGCTATTTTATACGGGTAATCTGTGAAAGCTTGGACCTTCCCAGGCCGGGCCGTGGTTTTACCACGTACAACCTTATTAGTACTATATTATATACGGTAATTACAAAACAATTTTGTGTTGGTTTTAACTGAACACATGCGTTTCGGCAATAAAAATTGCCATGTCAAACTCATTAAACAAATACATTTCTTAATGTGCGATGCAGCTAATATAAATTCTCATAATTTTACGGTCGGACACAGAATCACAATAACAACATTGAAAGTTTGCCACACAAACACCCGAAATCACTTGACTATGAACACAACTTTGTTGTCCCGTTCTAGCTGCTCCTCTAATTGGCTGGCGGAGAGACCGCCTTGGCAACAGAGCTCGTCCAGACAGACCAGACCGTTGTACGTCCGGACCATGTTTTGGTTGTGGTCCGACCGTACTGATGAGTTGTCGTCGTTGTTGAGCGTTATTGGATACTGAGAAAATTAAATTCAAAATAAACACTATTTCATTTATCAATAAACACTCTTTCTAACGTGGAAAAAATAGTTTACTTGTGAATTTCTTGCCGCTTCTTTTCACAAGGTGTCCCAAGGTAGGGGGTTTCTTGACTTTAAAAAATGTTTAGTAAAAACTGATATTGAATAAAAATATTTTGATTTTGAATGTACAGCCTTCACGACTGATTGTTAGTGGGTACAGCAGTCTATGGTGTTCACTTCTATGAGGAATAAGATTGAATTACTACCAACAGACATTATTTAAAATTTAGACTAGACCACAAGGTGGGTGAACACTGGGTGATAGGACTCCATTTCTACTTCGGAATCCATCTTGGTATTTTTTTTTATAGAAATAGGGTGACAAACGAGCACACAGTCCACCTGATGGTAAGTGGTTGCTGTGGCCCATAGACAATTTACATCCATCCTCGTTTGCGAATAAAATGCAGATGCGTTGTCAACCTTGAGGACTAAGATGGAATGCCTCTTTTCCAGTAAAATGGGTATCCGGTTCTCTACACTCACCATACAACACAGCAGCATTAAGCTGCTATTTTACGCTGGTATTCTGTGAGGGCGTGGTCCTTCCCCGGTCGAGCCGACCCATTCATGCTACAACCATAATATAGCTGCAGCATGGCTCTACCACGTATAAAACACCAAGTACACACCAATCTCTTACCTATTGCAGACGCCAAATAGTACAGCAAATAGCTGTGTTTCGGTCTGAAAGGTATAGAGAGTCAGTATAATCACATACTGTGAGGCACTACAATACGTGACTGTAGCCTTCTTTATTTGAAGTTGGTAGGTGTTTATGATCTGCAGGTGCTAACTACTAAACATCAGGTGGACGGTAAGGTAACTCAACTGCTGAACATAGGCCGTAGATTGTCTCATAGGAGGGACATTTGCCATAGTTACCATGCTTGGAAACTGCAGTTTTTTTTTAATTGTTATTGGGAAGACGCTGCTGTCCATCTCCAGGTATTTGTTTCTCGGTCTTCTCTTACGACACCCCAGGGATGATATAGGGTAGTGGTTATTCTTACATCGCCACTACACGGTCAATTTGTCAATAAAAAATATTATAGCTTAAATAAAAAACATCAATATAAAAATATTAAATATAAAAATATATACGGTCTCCATACCTTTTAGGCCCAAAAAGTTGATGCTGCTCCTTCGTAGTATATATTATTATACAAAAAGAGGTGATTGACTAGTTAAAAGGTGTTGTGCGTACCTTGTAGACCCTCCGTATGAGTCCCTCGAGCACGCCGAACAACACGAGCTTGCGCTCGTTGATGGCGAGCTCCTGCGGGCGCAGGCGCAGGCACAGGTCGCGCACCGTGCTGCCGTACGACATGCCCGCGTACATGCGGAACAGGTCGCTAACCTTCGGCAGCTGCCGAGCTGGCCAAATCCAAGTAAAAACAATCATGAATATGTTCACGATGCCCTGATAATTTTCTATTGCTATACTGCAATTTCTTCTAGACAAGTGTAGGTAGCGGCGAGAGAATCCACTAGCCTACATAAAAAACATATTCTCAATATGTTCATGATGTATGACGCCCTGGTAGATTTCAACAAACACACACAATACACCAAAGAATACAAATGTTTTGATTTCTTTTGCTTTTTTGCTGCATGCTGTTTCATTCAGACAAGTGCAGTAGCGGCGGGAGAATCCACTACCCCACATCAAATACATATTATTATCAATATGTTCATGAACATATTGATCATCATGATGTCCTGGTAGATAAAGAATACTAATACTGAAGGGGAAAAGCGATTTTATTGCTATTATAGCAGTCTTCCAGGCAAGCGTAGTGAATCCACTACCCCATATCGTCCAATGGTGTATTAAAGGCGACAGAAGGAAATAAAACAGAAGATGGGCAGCAGCATCTTCCTCATAGCAACTTAAAGAAAAAAATTACGTGTGCAGTACAGACGAGTTTGTTTTTAGTAGAAGGGAAACCTTCAGAAAAGAAGACCGAGATAAAAGGAAACACTGTATACTGTATTCTATCTTTTTCTCTCGCAGGCTAAATTCTATAGATGTAAATGTTTATCTCTTTTTAGTCTCGATTTTTCGTTTCATCGAGTTTCAAATGAAAACGATTCTATAGAAGTTTTCACTTCAAACACTGCGTTTGCAAACCGTGGGAACTAAGGCGAATATTCTCGTTATGAGGTGGTCTATGAAGAGACCTATTTAGAGCAGTGGTCTTTGAATGACGGCTTCGTGGCGCAGTGGCTTAGCAATGAGTTGTTGCGCTGGGGGCCGCGGGTTCGAAATCCGCAGGGAACAAGTATTTGTATGGCCTACAAATAAATGTTACGGGTCAGGATATTTGTCCTCGTGCAATTTATGTTTGTAAACTGCCTCCACGATAAGGAGTGAGAGTGTGGGGGTAACGTTTAAAAAAAATAGAAATAATAAATAATAGTCTGTATGAATGAAAATCCAAAAAAGAAATAAATAAAAAGGGGAGAAAGATCTTAAGAGAACAGAATTTTATCGATTGAATTGACCATAAATGAATGGAGGAAGAGAGGGCTTAAAAGGCAAATAATGTACCTTAACCTGTTTCTAATACTATAGTAACGATCAATCCTTGAATTCAAGACAACACGGAAGCACTAAAATCTAAATTAGATTAGACTTGAATGATAATAATTTTTTTACGGACTTTATTTCGTTTAATTAACTTATTCTGTATTCCTTACGTTTCGAATACTTTGTAGTACCCACGGTCACGGGAGGTCTAAGATGTTCAAAGTCCCAATGTCAGTTAACCACAACACCTTCAACTTAAAATTCTTAATTTTTGATCCGATCTACGCAAAAAGAGCTATAGTATCTTGAAATCTTACAGTGTTAAATTTGGGTTGTGATTTAATTTTATTAATTACAGGATTCCATACAGATTGTAGCACCCAGGCATCTTCTCTGTTGAAATAAGGATGTTTATTGATTAGCAATATTTGGTTATTGAAAGGAAACTGGTGTTCTTTTGAGTGAATTTGTAGTCTACCTAATCTGATGTAATGGCGGAGCGATCCTGATCATGCTCACAGACTGCAGACTTTCCGGATCCCGATTCTTAACATCAGCTATATATTCCTTTATGCAGGTTGTTAATTAAACGCGATTAAATTCGTAAAAAAAAACTATAGTAAAATTATTTTGTCCGTGTAGTTGGGGTCATAAATCATAGCTCGGCCTCAGCCTGGCTAGGGTGGTGAACATGTTGCGCGGGCGCAACGCCAGTATCGATAACAACAAATGAATCATCGAAGGCAGGTACACGGCGGCGGTGCGGTATACAAAGGGTGGTCCGACATTGTTATGTTATGAGTCATTTGTTTTCCATTATTACCCCCGCCTAATACCTGCAAATTAGTGCAATGATAATTTAGTACATATATCGAAGAAAAATTTGTTTTTGCGCTCTCTGTTTTTTTTTTTAGTGACACAATGGCTACTCCTTTGTTTTATACCAAAACGGCAGAATTAATTCAAAATAATATTTTGGCTGCTGGCACCAACAAATACCAGCACAAGCACGTGTTGTTATCAACAATGTTTTAACATTTTTGACTGAAATGAAAACAGATCCCGAAAAGTTAGTGTTAATTAACTAAAACTAAACTAAATACACTATCGATAACGCTTATCGATAACAATAATGCGCATCACTATGCTCGCCCCTAAGGCCCGTGAGTGGGAGAGAGAGCGAAATACTCCGATGATTTATGACCCAAGCTGCACGGACAAAATAATTCTAGTATAGTTGCATTCAAAAGTAGTTGCACAAAAAATATTACATACTAGACGTCTTTTATTAGATATTATAATAATATCTACTGCTCCGTATCGTCCCGCGGATGTCGTAAGAGACAATAGGGAAAGTAAGAAAAAATACATGTGGAGCCATGCTGCAGCTAGGTATATTATAGTTGTAGTACGAATGGATCGGCTCGACTGGGGAAGGAACACGCTGTCTAATGAACCCTTTTTACTGGAAACGACGCATCTATCTTAGTCCTTTGGAATGACAACACATCTGCATTTTGAATAGATGTAGCCCATAGTACAGCATCCACTGAACATCAAGTAGACTATGTGCTCGTTTGTCAACGTTATTCTTAAAAAAATCTCCCAATTAACGAAGCCACGAAAACGGATCAAGTTTTATGACAGTTCTTGAAGGAAGCTAAAGATCCATGCAGTTCAGCAGAGGCCTATGACAGAGATCAAATTACTTACGGGATCGGGCACAAAACTCCACGCATTGACGCTGGAGACCTGCACACCTAGTCAGCTGCCGAAGTTTAGGTGTAGCACTATAGACCTGCAAAGGAAGAGATAATTAAAATTCACAAAATATGTAAATATTTGTAGTGGACAAGAACTTTCGGTTCCTATTGGACGCGAAGTCATATTATAGTTTTCACTTTTTAAATGCCTTTAAATGCTTTCAAACCTCATGAACACGGTCAATATGTTCATGATGTCCTGGTAGATTTCTACTAGCGGCTACTTAAGGGATTCTATAGAAACATAGAAACGAACGAATTCTCTATCAACAATCCAATCAAAGATAAAAATTAATCACTTATCCAAAATCTAAACTTCGAATCGATAATATCTCGATTAATTAGTATTTGAATTTATCTAGATTTAACAAGTCAAAATATTATTAAGTAGATTGGGGTTAAGAATGTCATTGTTACCAAAACAGTACACTGAAAGTTTTTAGAACTGGCCACTTGTAAGCGATATAATAATAAATTAAAAGTAAAAAAACTTTTTTAAAACAAGCTTTTATTCAAATGCGCTAAAAAGAATAAAATAAACTTTTACTATCAACTTATAACATCATTACACAATTTATATGACATAAAAGCTTGTCGCAGTACACCAACATTTCAGACGGACCGACATCATGTTACACCCTGATGCCACTCAGTCCTCGGCACGGCCTCACCGTGACACGGGTGTTTGGAGTAATACACTACTTATTTCAGCTTGAAGCTTACTTGTGCCTTACGAAACACAGTTCCAGGTTTAATTTTGGAGTTACCCTTCTCCTAGACAGGTTGCAAACCAATGCTGTTGACGCCTATCTCGCCAAATTACACAAGTCAAAGTTAACCAACCGATTACAACAGATGATAACAACCGATGCTACAGACTCGAACAATTCGACCTCAATATCATTATCGAGGACTGCAAAAAAACTTTGTTGTGCTGGGGCACAACAAAATTTCAGATGGAATGGAGCAACCGAGTTTATGATCACCATCTTATTTTTAGTTAACTAGGATTCGTATTCTCAGCAAGTCCTTTCATTTGATACCCATATTGTAGGAAAGCTTAAAAGACTTAGTCCGCCATATTTACAAGTCCGCAATATTGGATTTAGAGTGATGTCACTTTATTTTTCGAGTTACCCTAAGCAAGCCCTTTAATTTGATACCCATATTGTAGGAGCACATTAAAAATAACTAGTCCGTCATTTTGGGTGTTCCGCCATGTTCGATTTAGAATGACATCACACAGCTAACCATGCATTGTCATCCAAACTTAACGTGTATACAAAATTTCAGCTCAATCGATTGAAGATATCTGCTTCAAAATTGAGTTGCAAGATTAAATTGTCTGTGTCACGTCAGCATGAATTTAACGCGAGAAAATTTTCGTACAATGATTTTTTATGACATTCGATGTCATTTAAGTCAACAAGAAAGTTATGATAGACTTCGATTGACCTTTCACGATGAAGTACCATTTGGTGCCACTATTTACAACTGGTTTAATGAGTTTAAGCGTGGTTGCACTAATCTCACCGATGATCTGCGTGAGGAACGGCCTTCTACGGCGACGACTGAAGATAACATCAGTGTTGTGCGGCGTATGATAGAGACTCACAAAAGAATGACTTATCAGCAGATTCGGAAAAACTTAGGCGTCGGTATGAGTCAAGTGCACAAAATCCTCCATGAACATTTAGCGGTCAGGAAGCTTTGTGCCCACTGGATACCTCATAATTTGACAGAGGCCCGTGCAGAGGTGTCGTGAAATTGTTCAAAGATTTAACGGAGGTGACTCAAATGCTGTGTTCGACATGATTACGGGTAATGAAAGCTGGATTTATTGTTATGATCCTGAAACTAAGAGACAGTCTTCTGTCTGGGTGTTTCCTTCCGAGGAGTTGCTAACTAAAGTGAAAAGAGGTCGAAGCGTGGAAAAAAGATGGTGGCCTCGTTCTTCGGAAGGACAGGTCATTACGCAGCAATTGTTTTAGAGGATCGAAAAACAGTTACTGCAGAGTGGTAAACTAACAATTGTTTGCCACTTGTCTTGGAAAAAGTTCGGGAGAAACGACCTCGCAGTAGGATCCTCCTTCACCACGACAACGCTTCGTCGCACGCCGCCAAGCAAACAATCGACTACTTGGCGACATCAGACGTGGAATTACTGGGTCACCCGATATAGAGCGACCTCGCACCTTGCGATTTTTATTTATTTCCGAAAATAAAAGATAAACTTCGAGGAAAACGTTTTATGGACGCCGAGGAAGCAGTGGCTGCGTTTCAATATGCCGTCGAAGAGACCCCTAAGGACGAGTGGGTAAAGTACTTTTCTCAGTGGTTCCATCGGATGCATGCGATGTATTGATGTAAATGGACACTATTTTGAAAAGATATAATAAAACTAATAACCCTCGTAGGAAACGAAACTAGACGTGCACACCTGCATGACTAGTGTTTTTGCTTGCTTTCGTGGTTATGTTATCCCCATAATTCATCAGAGCTTGACTCTAATGAAGAAGCCTATTTACCCTATAGATCTTTCGAATTATCAAAAATAGAACGTCCCCTCACTTTTTCCATAGACTTCACTGTACCCTGTTTATGGAGGGTAGAGGTAAGAACGACCATCTAATATGGGGGACAAGATGAAAAAGTGTCCAACTGTAATCTGCAAATAAAAATATATTAACAGCTGTATATAACAATATAATAAATAACAGTTCAAAAAGCTTCCAGAATAGCGCTAGCGTAGATACGGGGTATGGTATGAATGTAGCAGTATTGTTTATATTTGTTGTATAATATTTTGTTGTTCTATTTTTATATTTTATTTATTACATAAATGTTTATGTTAATTCAGATATTTTATTGTTACAAATTAATATACGTTTAAAAATTGACAATTTTAAAAGACTATTTTTTACGACAGTAAAAATATTTTCAAACGTTTTTATGATTTATTCTTATAATTTTTTCTTATATCATTTTGTTTTTGCTGTTTTTAAAATTTACGAGTACCTGGCTGCTAATTATAGCGCCACCCTAATTTAACGCATTTCGACGGACACCGACGGACACAGAGATAGTCTTACGTACCTCTATCTTCCATACTCCTGTTATCATGGATCATGGAATTAAATATCAAGCAAGGTGACTAGCTCGTACATACACGTTTGGCTACTAGACGCATGCGTACCTCTTTATCGACGCGACCGTCCCACGTTGTGGTCGCGTGGGTGCATGGCGCCATAAGATATCATCACGGGTAGATGATGTAGGGAGATAATCGTGAAAGAATATTCACTACTGAATATTTATTTATTTACTAGGTGTTCCCGGCGACTTCGCCCGCGTTACTATCGGATTTCATGGGTTTTAATTTTTTTTGCACGGAACTCTAATTCTTTTACTTAAATAAAAGTAGTTAATGCTATCTGCCAGTGTAAATCCCGTCAAAATCGGTCCAGCCGTTTCGGAGATTAGCCGGAACAAACAGACAGACAAAAATTTTAAAAATTGTTTTTTTTTTGTTATAAGTACCGTAAACATTTTCATATGCATTTAGTAAAAAGCTGTTATTTTGACATTACAAACAGACACTTCAATTTTATTTATTTGTATAGATTTATACACTTTATTGTACTAAAGGTACAAACGGCGGACTTAATGCCATATGGCATTTTCTACCAGCAAAAAAAAAGAAAGTTAGTGGGAGATGTGTGTACTGCAGTGGGCTAGGATGAAAACCTAAAATTGATAAATTTCATGCATACACAAATACACATCCATACATACACACACACACACAGGCATATACACACATACACATACATGTAGATCAAATTTATTTAAACATATATAAGGATATAACAGATTATTTGTTATAGATATTTATGTGTCAGATGAGCCCAAGTAATGTTCCTTTACTTTTGTTTTAAAAATCAACTTGATTTTTTTTTGAATTTTCTTATTGTAAAGGGAAGCATATTACAGAGTCGTACAGCTGTAACAGCGAAAGAGTTTGAGAGGAAACCAGTACGGTGAGAGGGAATTTGCAGTACGAGATTGTTATGAAAGCGAAGATTGCAATTATGGGAAGAACCCAGATATTGAAACTTACATTTCAAATACACTGGGGCCAACAGATCGTTAAGGATAGTGAAAAGGGTACTAAGAATTCTAAGGTTCCTGCGTTGTGGGATATTTAACCATTTAAGTTGAGAGCGATAGAAAGAGATGTGGTCATACAATCGAAGACAGTAAATGAAACGGATACAGTCGTTGTGAAGTCGATCCAATTTATTGACCAAGTAATTGTCTGCAGCTAAGTAACACACATCGGTATAATCAAACATAGGAAGAATAAGGAATTGAATTAGAAGTTTTTTCGTACAAGGCGGCAATATATTTTTAAATCTGTACAATTGTCTCAAAGTAGTACAAATTTTACGGCTAACTTCCTCGACCTGACTGCGCCAAGTAAGACAACAATCCAAGGTTAATCCTAAGTCCCTAACATGAGAGCTGTACGAAATTACCTCGCCATTATAAATCAGTGGATCTACTGATGTATGATTAAGTTTACCTAATTGACGTGCGCTACCTAAGAATATAGCTTGGCATTTGCTGGGATTAACAGTGACCCCGTATCTTCTTGACCAATTAAGAATCCAATTAAGATCTGAGTTAATCACGGTTACAGCATTATTTATATTAGTAGCATCGGCATGAACATACAGTTGCAAGTAATCATATTAATAAATATATAGAGAAAAGTAATGGAGAGAGAATTCCACCTTGCGGAACACCAGTGGTTAAGTCACACCAATCGGACACCACATCGTCGACACGGACCGCGTGTTGGCCACCACGAAGATAGAAGGCAACCATATTCCGTGCTGATAAGGAAAAACCTATGTAGGACCAGATGGCGATGAGCATATCATGGTCAACGGTATTAAAAACGTTAGATAAATCTATTAAAACTGCTTTGTGGCATTCCTTGGGGGAGGCCTATGGTCAGCAGTAGACTTGTGAAAGGCTGTAATGACGATAATAACACCGTCAACTTTCCAAACTCCATGCCATCACGCACATCCTCTGTTATTTTTAATAACAGAAGATGTACGTGATATCTTCCCGTGGGTGTCGTAAGAGGCGACAAAGGGAAATTAAAAAACAAGATGGCCAGCAGTACCTTCCTGGTAACAACTCAGAATAATAAAAAACTGCGGTTGACGACCCGCCTGCCAAGCGTGGCAACTATGGCAAAATTATACCTATGAGGCAATCTTTAGGTGAGGCAATTGTTGTAATTGTTGTTGTATTCAACAATGGACTTTTATAGACTGTAATGGATGGATGGATGTATGGGTATGGATGGCATCCGCTGCACGGTCGACGCTCCCACTTGGTTTGGATGAAGCTTTATGTAGAAATTATGGTATTTAATTTTAAGTTTTTGCAATCAGGTTTCACTTTTTATTAAAAAATAAATAAATATTAAACCACTCTCATTGTATCATTGTCTACAACCGGTCGAAAACCCACTCGCTATGTGGAGTTTGACACTTAGAACCAAGCCATACATACTCTTTCGTAACTTTATGACTGTTCATGTTCTTCTGACTTGGTTGATCAGTGAACGCAAACTAAACATGGAAGCAGTCTTAGCTCCAAAAATGACCCAAAGCATATACGCTGCGTGGCTTACCAATTACGCTACGAACAAATGTAGTTCCAATACCGTCACATTCATAACACCAATTAATTATAATTTGCGTTGCGCCTTATTACAAAAATACTCTCTTTGTTTTGTGATAAAATGTCCCTGGCGACGAGCACAAAGGCGTCATTCAATAAAGTTGTAAGCGACATAATATATGATGTATAGCAAATGTAACCAAATACTGTCGGAAAATAAGGTCAGCTTTTGATTGCATCACAAGTTGTAATAAAATATTATAATAATCTGTTCTATACGCGATGGAGTTTCAAAGTATGAGTGTGTAAAATATTGTGCCATGCTACGCGCTTAAATGAAGCTGTAAAAGCCAAAAGGCTATCAGAACATCATCAGTAACCAGAAGCTTAATTCGCTAAAAGTAATACATCCATTTTTATTTGCGTTCACTGTGTGCTGCTAACCATGTTGACACCCTATTGTACCCTGATGATACTCACAGCGCAATACTGGAAGATCGGCACGATCGTCACGACGCCGTAGTAAACGAGATTCTGTACGCATGCGCGCACGAGGCTCACTTCCACGTCGCTCAGGGCCGCGATCTTCGATACGTGGTTAAATCCATCGATGTACGGTAGAATCTACGACAAGACAAAATAACATTTTTATTATTTACCAGCTCGCCCGCCAGACGTTGTTCTGTCCTTTCAGTTTGGTGGCACGATTACTTCAATTTCTTTTCTAGATTTCCATTATCACAATCAACTTTAAAAAAAAGGAAAAATATAAACCTTTTTTTATATCTTCCGTAAGCGGATAAAAGTTGCCTATATGTTATACACGGTCATTTACTGCCTACACATCAAATTTCATGTAAGCCAGAAGTTTTTACGTGAATCGTGAGAATACATTTTTTCTACAGATTTATTAAATATATATAAGTATAGAAAAAGAAATAGAATATACATTATAGATATCGATGATAAAATTACAAAGGTTATGACAAAAAGCATCATCCGACGACGACACTTTTTTTCCCATGTATATATATAACTCTATGTCCTCCAGACCAAATTCGTCACGGCGGCCTGTCTCAACGCAGACTAGCCATCTGCGCAGGGCAGGATCATAATGCACATGTGTTTGTGCGCAAACACAGGTGCAATCTATTCTCCCACTTACATAGTCCAATAAGACGAAAATACGACGCGGTCGAAGGGAGATCACGCGCAGGGTCAACCGCTTTATGTGCTTTCCGAGGCATGGGGTGAAACACCGCCAATTTCTTGACTTTGCACTGCTACTAAGAATTTCTTGACAGATAAACCAAATAACTTATTTTGGCCCGACCCGAGCTTCGAAAACGGGACCTCATAATCAGCAGTGGCGCTTACGACAATTAGACTAACGAGTCATTCAGTAACATACAACATAATAGTATTCCCAACAACAAACTTTTTGAATACAATCTTATATCTCATACAATGATTATTTAACGAGACAAATTCATATTTCATTGCGAACAGTTTCCGCATCATAATGATTCTGATTCATTAATATTTATAAAAATATCTTATTATTTGCGTTATTTAAAATCGTAAACTGAGAGTTAGTTTAAAATGTTCAATAGATACAAGGAGTGGATTAAATCATAGAAAATTTTAATTATTTATTTATTAAGAAGCCAATATGATATTGTGCAATTTTTTTTTACATAAATAATTGATTATTCTAAAGTTTAGTACGCATCATACTTAAAGGCTAACTTAACATGTTAAAGTAAAAGAAAGAGAAGCGCACAATAAAGTTAAAAAAAAACCGGCCAAGTGGGAGTCGGACTCGCGCACCGAGGGTTCCGCACAAATCCGTAGGTATATAAGTTTAAAATTTTTAAAAATATTTTTATTATATGATGTAACTAAAAATGTATGCTTTTCGCAATTTTTCCTTTATCTGTGCCATAATACGTTCCTTCGTACCAAATTTTACGATTCTGAATTCCCGGGAAGTACCCTGTAAGTTTTGATTCCTTTGCGAATGTCGAAAATTTGCGGCACAAACGTCTGTCTTTTGATTTTTTCACAGCTCCAAGGGACTTGAGTATTTGATATGAATTTCAGCTTGATACCTCCACGCGTTCCTGAGAAAAAGGGCACGAGAGACTGACAGACAGACAGACGGACAACGAAGTGATCCTATAAGGGTTCTGTTTTTTCCTTTTGAGGTACGGAACCCTAAAAACGGAAAAGCTTAACAAAAGTGTACTTATTATGGCGCAAAAAAAAACAACTAATGAGATGATCTTAATTTTATTAGAATTTTTTTTAAATGGTAAAATTATTAAAGCAAACATATCACGTAGGTCTTAGAAATATTTTATAGAAGTATTTATGATTAACGTATGAATATATTTATAAATGTGGAGCATGGGAAGGGTTTATATGAAATGTCAAAGGTTCATCCCATGTTCTTTGATAAAAACTAGGCATAAAAATGTGTATTGAGCAATTTAAGTAGTGTGGGTAGTTGTAGACTTCAAATTCATTGACCCATTTATAGCGATCAATTAAAAGTTTGCACGTGGTAGAGCCATGCTGCAGCTATATTTGTAGTATAGATGGAGCACGAATGGGTCGGCTCGATCGGGGAAGGACCACGCTCTCACAGAATATCAGCGTAAAATAGCAGTTTAACACTGCTGTGTTTCGTATGGTGAGTGTGGAGAACCGGAGAGCCTTTTTACTGGAAAAGAAGCATTCCATCTTAGTCCTCACGGGGGACAACGCATCTACATTTCGATTCGCAAACGAGGATAGATGTAGATGTTCTTGGGCCACAGCAACCACTTACTATCAGGTGGACTGTGTGCTCGTTTGTCACCCTATCCTATAAAAAAAGTCTTCATCTGGTCATAGACCTCCCCCATAGATAGTCCCACAGCGGAAAATTTGCCATAGTTGCTACGTTCGGCAGGCGGGTTAGCCACCGCAGTTTTTTTTTATTTGAGCTGCAATTAGGATGATGCTGCTGTTCATCTCGTTTCAGTTTCTCTGATATGGTTAGTGGATATGTCACGTGTCCATGAGTATATTTTATTTCTTGGAAATGCAGGTTCTCAAACGATGGTTCCTTTCACTCCTGTTTCAAGTCTTGAAATAACACATTGACTGTGGTCATTCAAATTTATATAGAAGCATAGCTTGCTTATGTATACTTTTAGTTCGAATTAATATCATTTTCCGACCTCCACGCGTGCAATCCGCGGGCAAAAGCTAGTATAATAATAGAGAGCCCCGCTATCTCTCATAGTTTACACCACGTCGTTACACGTGCCACGCTACATTGTTTTAATGATCACGTCGTATATCGTCGTATCATGTAAATTAATTATTTATATAGAAATCTGACTATTATTTAACATAAAATTAATTTTAATAATGCTACTGATTTGAAGAGTCAATAAACACACATAGATCACATGTTTTCTATATTATTTAGAAAGCGTTTCGCTTTACTTACGACATTATACAGTGGAGAAAGTGCATTGAAAAACCATATAAAATATAAATACTGGCTGATCAACTTAGACATTTTTTTTTAATTTTAAGTCGACAAAAGTTGCCGAACGTATAGTTAGTTATATATAAACAGTTTTTACGTGCACTTCGAAATAAAACGGATCGTAACTAAAATCGCAAGGTTTTTTTTTTAAATACTAATCGGCCATTTCTCAGTGGACCAAGGTTTTAGGTACATGGTTCAAAACAGGTGGAACCATTATTTGTGTAAAATATAAATTAACTATCATACTGCATTTAAAGTTAGGTATCTCCAATCTTATTACATATATGGATCGGTTAATGCGACGAAATGACGAGGTCACAGGCGAATCCCAATAAATAAAATAACTATGTAATTATTTTTGTTTGTAAATTAGCCCAATTAAACAGATACCGGTAATATAAATGGGGTAAATATTTTAGACTGTATTCTATTGCGTAAAATCGTGAAGTGGTTGTGTAAGACTATCCACTACCCCATATCCCATATATACATTCTAAAATAGACATTTATTACCAGTGAGAGCAATTAAAACGCAACTTTTTAATATTAAGAATATATTTTAATCAAATTAAAAGAAATAATAAATATAAAGGTAATCAATTTTAGTTTTAAAACTAATCCAATGATGAAATTAATGATTATTAACAAGTTTGTTGATATCAGGTTCGATTTTACTCAAAAACAGTCGTAAGTCGCCGCGTTCATTAACATGCAAACGATTTCTTTTTTTAGTAAGCAGCGTTTTCACAGCGCTAAATCCACGTTCACACAAATATGACGATGGGAATGCTATCAAAAATCGTTTAACGGTCGACCACAATCCAGGGTACAACTGCGGGATTGACTTTTGTAGCCAAAATTCTTGGTAGCCATTTGTGAATTTGATTTTTATTTCCTCGTTCGTTGTCAGTTCTATAAGTTCTTCTTCCAGTTGGGGTGATACTGTTATGTGAACATTTGAAAAACGATCTAACACCCAGTCTGGTATTTCTAATTTCAAAATATCCTGGAATCTTTCAATGGAATCACTGTGGAGATTTTCTAAATGTTGGCAGTAGACAAGCAAGTCGTCGTTATTGCAGGATACTGCTAAATTGGGAAAATTATGGAACTCATGTCTGCCGAGATTCTTCTTGTGTAAGAGCAGCTTATCTACGAAAGCAGAGACATTTTTTGTTTTTATTAAGTTCAAGTCATCGCCTTGAAGTTGGAGATTCATATAATTAAGCAATTTATAAAGGTCTATCAGGTATGCGATATCTTTGATGTGATGAGGTTGTCGCGCAATTCTGTGCCTTTATTTTCCAAGAACTCTACGACAGAGTCAAACAGATTGTAAAATCGAGTCAGACTATTTCCTTTTGATAGCCAACACACTTCTGTATGGAAGATCAATTGATTGAAATCTTCATCATTAATAACACAAAGCTGATTAAATGATCTGTCAAGAGTGGTATCGGATTTTCTTGACTGCTATGATGACATGTTGCAATGATTGAAACAGTCGTTCACTTAAATTTCTAGCAACCAAATGTTGTCGATGTATAACGCAATGTACAGCAAGCACATCTGGAATTTTATTTTTTAAGTACGCAATGAAGCCTTTTTGACAGCCCGTCATAGCTGGAGCAGCTGATATAATATTCTTCAAGGGAATTCCTTTCTCCTTTTGTGTCTGTCTCTAATTTCTTCTAGCAAATAATAATTCTTGACATATTTTTTCATCTTTAATAAACTTCACGTAAGACAGCAACAATGCTTCGTTAGTTGGTATAAAGTGGACTCATCCAACTGAATTGAAAATTGACTAGTCTTCAGATGATTGCACAATTACTCTTCAATGTTTTCAGCCATTTCATCAATTCGTCTTTGCACAGAACTATTGCCCAAAGGAATTTTTCGAATTATGTCTGCCGTCGGTTTATGGAGCATAGTAGTTATAACTTCTTTTATTGCCGGCAAAATTAACGTTTCTCCGATGGTGTGTGGTTTACCTGTTTGAGCAATTAACAAAGAGATATTGTATGAAGCTCGAAGTCAGTCATGGTCTTGTTTAGCAACCAATGAAAAAAGTTTT